GTCGAACAAATTGCACAGCTCAAATTTTTTATGCTCTTCCTTGGCAATAACAATAAATATTGTGCATGGCCTGGAAAGGGTGCAGGGATGGAAGCTTAATACATTCATTACCAGAACTGTATTTCTTGTGTTTGCTTATTTTTGCAACAATATTCCAGCACAGTTTTCGTAATATTTATTTCAAGTTTCCTTCGAGATTGTCATTTATTAGTATATTCGATTTTGTATAGATTTTAATTTTAGATTGTGAGCGAGTTGTTAAACTAAACGTTTTCGGCTAAAGGCTGCACAAAATCAATATACTTTCGATAAATAAATATTTATATTTTTCTGTGAATGGAAGATATGACTGGTATCTGATAGGAACACATTCAGATTTGCCATATCGAGTATTCCTTTGTTAGTTCTTGGGAATGTTTGCAATTCAAAGAATGTGGCATGCCTTCAACTGTTAGTTGCATTCATTTGCTGAAACTCCTTTTCATCAAAGAGGGTATTTAACCAATTTACATTTTGTTTATTTAGCATTAGGTATAACAATTTATGTTATATTTGCATTCCACTCCGTTAAATAAATATATGTCGGGTAATATTCTCTACTTTGTATGACTGCCATATATTTATTGTGTTATCCAATTAGGGGCAACTTGTCAAGGTGTGCGACCACAAAATGTGTTGGAATTACGTTTTGAATTATGCAGGCTTTAATTCACTTCTGACGTTGCCAAATAACACTGTACCAAGGGGGAGTAGAATTTCATGTTGATTCTGGCATTGTATGATTGTAACTTGAGCATGCGATTGAGTGTGTGCAGTGCCACTCGAGTGCAGTCAGAAAACCAAAGCGACAACAAATAGCAAACAAAACGTAGCATACTCGGAGGCGTTCTTTGAAGCGTGCCACACATGCAAATGCATTGGTAAAGGCAAAGGCAAATATAAAATGCAAACGCGCCTTGCCCCCGTCAGCATTTTATGCTGCCATTCCAGCCCGTTGCCCATTTACGTGATCGTTTCCAAGCGCAACTGCAGTTGCATGCCGCAAAATAATATATTCTCTATGGATGGTAAATGCTGGCCACGAGCGCCCAAAACCAAAATCATGATTACGCGCGCATTATGGCAAACATTTTGCACTGGGACCTGAGTTGAGTTGCAATTTCCTGCCAGCCTCATAATAACCATAAACTTTATTAGTTTCCTTGTTGCTCCTCTTGCGACCTCTTGTACAGAGCGCCTAATTTTATTAAAAACTTTCGGTTGTGTGTGCTTTTGGCTGTGGGTAGGGCCGTGTTCGACCAGGTGAAACTTTCGCTGCCATCAGCTTTTTGTTCTAATGCTTCGAAATTCATTTTCTCAGACGCCCCCTTTTTTTTTTTGTTGGCCAAGTTTTTCGCTCCGTGCCTCATTAAGTATAAATAAACGAAACCGTAAACGGAATTCGTGCAGCACAACTTTTAATGGATTTCACATAGGTGAGAGGCGTCAAAGGATTGCTTAGGTGCCGCCATTAGAACACCTTTCACGATTACGGGCTGCACTCATTTATATTTAGTTTGTGCGCCATTCAAGTCTTGCTAAGAGCTCTTGACCTTGTTGTTAAATTGATTCCTAAACCTTAATTTTTAATTTCATGGATTACAAATACTATATCAATAAATAACAATCTATAAAGTGGCACGAAATACAACCAAGTTTTATTTTTTTGCTAACTAATGGCCCATCTACAATTTTTCAGTAAAACAGATTCACTGAACGACTTCACTTATAGGTGATCAAAAACAACAAAAGGTTATCTTTCCATGTCAGAGATGAGATATGACTTCGTTATGACATCGTTTCAAGGCATGAGGAACTCCTGACCATTTATGACGAGAATCAAGCAGACGAAGAGACCGAAAGTATATTAAAGAAAGCTAATTTAAATTTGTATAACTAATTTAAATGAGCTGTTAAAATGTTCCTCGATGAAGTGGAGCTCACGGAGATTACTTCTCGGATCAATTTCAAGGTGAATGCAACACTAACTCCATATAAAAAAACAACTTGAAATGGGGTTCAGCCTTATAAATATTAGTTAAATACATGTATAAGTATTGGTTATGTAGAAAGGAAAGATCCTTTTCATTTTTATAATTTAATGGGCTCAGAACCAATCATACAAATGTTTGCTAATGATGTACTCGCTTTAGGGCAATGCAATTAACGACCAACTCTTTTGGTCTACATGAAGGCCTTTAAACGGGAGTTGGGTGTGCAAATCAGTCAAATCAATGCGAGTAGATTGACCTTTCACTTCAAATGTCACTTAACAACCTTTATATATGCTGTTTTAAATTGCGTAAATTGCGGACACAGGCACCTCAACCCACACACAGTTTATGCAGTAACCACTCAAATCGTTGCCACAACGGCTGAAACGCAAAAAAATAAAAATGAAAATAACCTTTTTAAGTGACAGGCGGTGCTTTGTAACGTCCTGCGCTTTTGTTGCACACAGCTCCAACCCAGTGCACAATTATTAACTGCCAGCGTTCAGAGGCAAAAAAATTATGACCAAAACCACGTTAGTTAGAATCAACGGCGGTCATAAAGGCGGCCAAAGCCAAATGCCAAGAGCACAAAAGCGACCGACATTGTATGGCTGAGCTTCTGAGTGATGGACACCGTTGAGAAAAACATGAGACAGGGATGGAGTAAGAAAAGGATAAGCAAGTCCTTTTACTGTTGGCGCCAGAGCACTTTTCTGTCCAATAAGCTTAGAAGCTGCACTTGGTTTGTTGACTCAGCAGTTACACAATGCGCAGCCACTTGAAATTCTTCCACAGAAATCAAATAAACCTTGTTTATTGGATGCACGAAACAACTTTCGCCTTTATTAAATTATATTGCTTATTTTATATATGAATTTCAATTCAGCGATTTCCTATATTCAAATGTTCCTAAATATGATCCCTCCAGTATTTTCTCTGAATATGAAAATTACATGAAATAACGTCTATATTCGGAAAGACGTAGATCAATAAGGCACAAGGCCTTAAAGATATGTGGGGAAAATTGGAGGGCATTTTTCAACCGATTCCCCTTTTAGAGCTTTATGATTTAGAAGACTTGAGTCATATATGTGAAGTATAATTGAGTTCTAGCAACAAACTTACAAAAAAATGTATTTAGAAATATTGCTCTACTACGCGATTCTCAATAATTAAAGTAAGGTTTAGCAGGCAAACTACTTAACATTATCTCTCGTTTTCTTCTTAATATACAACAAAAAATTATCTGGATGGTGTATATTCAGTTTATTCCAAATTTGTGTTAATGAAACCAGCCAGACTTTCCCAAACCGAAAAGCAACTAACAATCATATTTTAAAGATACAACTTTAAAAAGTTAAATGCTAAAATGAAGGTAAAGTTATGTGCCCTAGAAGCTCTTGACTAAAGCATTCATACATATATTTTATGCAAAACAGCAATTATGGTAACTGCTTGTGACAAGCGGAAAAAATTGAATTATTTGATATGATGGCTTACCGTAGCTGCAGCTGCTGTCGTACCTTTGAATTGTCTGACCTTTGACTTAAAATTCACATAAATGTCGTAATTACTTGGAAATTTACGCGGAATCTGAACATGAATTAATCATGTTGTGACAGGTGCAATTGGATAACCGAATTACGGTTGTATGAGTTTGAAATTCAGTTAATTAAAGTTAAACATGTGCATTATTTAAAAACCATTCAGTATAAAGCTTACCAGTCATTATTCAAGCCTAACTAGGTGTGGCAAACTGAACTTGTTTATTTGCTCAAAAATGTGTTGCCAAATATTTGGTTTACCTGTCGCTAATAAAACATCTGACAATCAGTTAGCTTGTGGTAATTATTCAAAAAGCAAACAAAATTATGCCATCACCATCCGTTCGACTTCTCTACCCCGGCTGCAATTGCCATTAACGACTGACCGACTGGTGTTAATTTAATTATATAATAAATAAGTTCCGCACATAAACCAGAAAATATATATATGGGAAATTCCAACATGAAAACACGAAACTTTACTGAGTGTAATTAAAAGGAAAATGAGAAAAACGCATATGCCAGGACGAAAGCCCGCTTAGTTTATTTAATTGCAAATTGAGTTTTAAGCACGCAAATGCAAAAACATTTCACAATTCGTTGGCCAAGAACAAAGTACATTCAAAAACAGCAATGAGTTATATGGAAGCCTTAGAGCTGATGCACATAGAAGCCATACAAATACATAACTCCTTGTTTATAAATAGGGTTTTATGATATTACATAAATTCTAAGTATTAACTCAATGTGCCTATGGTATTTAAGAATAAATATGAAAATTAAAAATGTAAATAAATAAAACAATTTTGTTTTAATATATTTCTTTCTAATATATTTCGGCTTCACCTCGGCAACCGTCTTCACCGCAATTGCTTAACACGTCTGTATATATGTATATCTTTAGTATTCTCTGAGATTTGAAGCAAACGTGCAGTCGGAGTGTCATAAACCAAAATGTATATATATATATATAAGTCTATTATAAGTCTATTTGTCGTGACTGACTGACAACCCAACCCGTAAAAGCTACGATGCTGATATTTTCATTGTAGTTACCTTTCTTAATTAAGGAAAACTTAATTTTAAAACTCTACATAAAGACTTGAAGAATTTGTGAATATGTATCAACGGTTTTGGAAATTCTACCCACAGCTGTGTTTTTTTCTACCACCCAATTTGTTTCAAACTTATCTTCGAAGCTCGGATGAAAAACTTTGTTTTTAGACATATATATGCGTTATATATGTTATATGTTATATATATGCGATATGGAATATATATATTATATCCAACATAGATATAAAAGGTAGACATTTTTAGAATTTTATAGATTTTAGCCTTTTTCTTTAGAGATAATAATCTTTTTGTATAATAATATATGAATACATAACATATATGGAGAATATTTGAAATGTGCACTTACCGCTTCGTTTCTGTATCGGGTTTGCCATATGCCCGTACAAACGACTCAAGTCGATGGCACTCGCCGTTGCTTGGAGCAACAGCAGCGAGAGAATAAATGTTGGCCAGATCAAACGTCGCTGGTCCATGGTCAATGGCATGGAGGAGGACATCCTGCAGCTGTTTCTCTTGCCGCCTTTTTATGTACTTATTTTGCTGAGAACGTGCCGAAATTAAAGCACTCGCGTCGCTGTATGTATTTTTTATCTGTATCTATATCTGAGTCTAAGAGGTGCACGAAATAGAGGGAAAACTTTCAGATGCGCACGTTTGCCGCTTTACTCGAGTGTTTGACAAAGTTTTCTAGTTAGTTTGTGTTTGGGCAGCCGCGTCCTTTGCAGTAGCTGAAGGGGACCCCAGCACCGGATCGGTTATGTTTGGTTTGGTTTGGTTCGTGTTACGGCTGTCACTCTCACTTGGACTCGTTGACGCCGTGGACGTTTTCTTTTTCTGGCTTCACAGATGAGTCTGATTGAATTATTGTTGGCACTTCTGCTGCAGTAGCTCGTTCGTTTGCTTTGCGCTCACAAAGCTATGCTAATCGCCTTCTAATGGAGTTATACGCACCAGAAATTAGCTTTATTCCTTAATTTACTTTCGTTACGTTGATTCGATATAATTATTTGCCGCTATATACGTATTTGATTCGTGCAATTATGTTCGCGCTTTTTTGCTACAAGCCGTTTTTCTAAAAGCCGTTGGATTTAGTTTACTTTTCTAAAATATTTCGGATTCGCTTTCGCTTAAACATAAAATCGAAAAGAATTTGCAGGCAAACAAATATTTTGTTTTAGTCGACTTTTTACATTTTTCTACACTGTAACGAGAAGAACACAGAAAACCACATTAGTAGAGCAAAAAATCGATGTGCTTGGGTTACATTTTTCAAATTGTAATTTTGTTTAAAGTGGGGATTGTGTTTTTTTAGCGGACTGCCAGAGAAAATATTGCGGAAAGCTAACTTAAATGAAATGTATAATTTAAAGGGAAATAAAGGAAAGGAGAGGAAAATATGTTTCCTCTTGCATGTGGATCAGATATTAATGCGATGGACGGAAGCAATAAAATAAATAATATAAGCAAATATGAGCTTGTGCCATTAAACCAAAACCAATGATTTTTCGACCCAACAAACATAAATTGAACAAACACACATTTAATTGGGGCATTAAGAACTTCACACCACATTTTCAACTCGCACGCAACATGTACATATATTTATATATAAAAATATAGATATATATGGTATATAAAATAGTCGCCATGACATGATATGGAACAACGTTGGGTGGGTGTTAGGCAATTTACATGGCAATGTCGTCTAATCGGCTTAACAAAGCTTAACAATATTTCGGTGGTACGAAAAGTTGAACAACCCTTTTTCTTGCTTTTGAACACAGACACACACACACACGCACACAAGCCCACGAGCATACACACACATGGCATATAATATGCTCTAGCCATACTTGAGCGCCTTTTAATGACTCTCTGGAGCACCCAAAACACATACGCAGCAGTGGCAGAGGGAAATGCCGTTGAAGGAAAGCAAGTAAAAACCAGACCTTTAATTATAGCCAAGCTGAACACTTTTTTTTGCTTGTGTTTTGTTTTTTGGTTAACAGCTAACACAAGCAGACAACTTTATACAAAAGTCAAGCTCGAGGAAGTGGCAACTTTTAGCATACTTTTTGGAGCAATCAAAAATGTAACGTCATTTTTGCTCACTTTATTTAAACAAGTAGACAAAGTTTGCCTCAGCTTTACGGTGCCACAGACTTGCACAGCTTGTAAAAATGAACAAAAACAAGAAGCAGGCGTGAGCATTTTAATTAGTCAGTTTGCCTTTTCTAATGGAACTTTCTTATTTTTTATGTGTTGGATGATATTTTTGTAGACTTTTTTTTGGAACAAAATGTATGTATATAGACATATTTAGGTTGTACTGGGACCAGTGGCATTTTTAGTGCCAATGTTGACGTAGGTCCGTCTGGTCAAGGAAATGCTCCGGCCTTTCTTTTTTCTTTGAGTTCTAATTGAAGTTGACAAATCCTCAGGGTGAAGGGTCAGCACACAGTGTCTAACACAGCTGCTAATGAAAATTTATGTGGCGTGATGTATTCCATCGAAATTTCATTTGTTTTTCACAGCCAGTACTTTAAGAGAACTCAAAGTTTATGATTATGCCTTTAAAAACAGCTATGAATGTAAGCTAAATTTTTGCATTTATTTGTTTTGTATTCTTAACAGCAAATACCTAGTATAATATTATATACCTTTTGACCATTTAGAAGAAAAAACAACAGTCTTTCAAAATTGAATCAAAATATATAATTGAAAATAAATTGTCTCAATATTATAAATGATTGATTGATGGATTCCTGACTGGGAAGAACTTATCGCTGTAATATAAAATATGAAAGGAACTTCGGCTGACAAAGAAGTTTTAATGTCCAAAGGGGGAACAATAGGCCTTACGGGCATCCAAAAATGATAGTAGATGGCAAGTGAAGAGCGCAATACCCAAAATATGTTTGCCTAAAATCTATCTGAACGATATTGCGGAATTTTTATTGATCTCTTTGCTGGTGTCCGACTACAGAGTTAAAGTTTATATACACATAAAAGCGAGCTCACAAATAAAAAAGTCTATCGAGATTTTATAATCTGCAAGACATACTTAAAATGGAGCTTAAACGTGACATTTTTGTTGATTTGCAGTCGGACGGACAGTCAGATAGATAAAGCTGGATCAGCTGCTTTAAAAATGTTGAGTAAACAAACCCGTAAACCACTCTCTTACCTAGTTGAGTATGGCCTACAGGACAAATAAATTGAAGACAACTAAACGTCTTTTTATACTCCAAAGCATAAAGCCGAAAAATGTCATGACAGTTTGCTGGCAAACTTTGCGCACATCAAGACGGAGCCAGAATTCTTTAATAAACTCTAATGAAAGTTTTGTGCAAACGATTTAATAAACAATTCGAAGCCGAGTAACAAACAGATGCTTTTGCCGCGTTCAACGTCTGGGGAAACACAACTTGCGACTAAATTAAATACACCAGAGACGAAAGAAGCCAAATATTTTAAGACGTGTTTGCCGTTTGCTGTTCCGAGCAAAACTCAAGGAAAACCACATGGCTAAATATTAAGATAGGCCACAGGGGCATAGAGTAGCGCAAACAGGCGAGCCATAAAGTAGGAAACCAAGCCAGTTATGTGACGTGGCCAAAATGTTTCCAAATAAAGCGGCGCAAATTGTTTTAATAAGTAGCGAGACGTGAGTGCAGTTAAAGCCAGCAGATCAAACTATTTAAGCGCATTTTCTGTGGCAAAAAATATATAGAAGGAAAAGGCGAGCGAGAAAGAAATCTGTACTCTTAGCAAATTATTATTATACAAAATATAATGCAATGTTCACTTTAAATATGCATTAAACAGTCTTTAAATCTTCTTCCAACCAAAACAAACTTAAAGTAATGCTCCAGCATGGGTTCTTTTAAGGGTCATAACTTTGGGTTACTGCTGGGTACCTTCAAAGTTGAAAAATGTATAAAAATAGCTGCAGAGTCAGCTGCCGAAATCACAAGCAAGCGTTCATTTGCATAATATGTAAGTATAATAATATACGAAGAAGCAAAGCAGTGACTGCCCACAACAACAACAACAACAGCAACCAGAGCAAATGTAAGCTTTATTTTCGCAGCATTTTTCCAGCCTTTTTCATATAATTTTGTAGCGCTGGCGATGAGATTTTCCGAGTCCGTCGTTACGTTTTCTTAATGCATAATTTAACAGGTGCCTTTGCTGAGCGGTGCGGGCCAGATGAGAGGCATAGCAACAGTGGGCCCGCACAAAAGCAGGCAACAATCAGCAACTGCGTGTTGTTATTCAAAGCACAAAAACACCAAAAACACACAAACAAACACACACACACACACAGCTAGACGGCGCAAGAATAAACTGCGGTCTAACGATGGTAGAACTGAGGCTGAGCCTAACTCTGAGGTAAATAATGTTCAAAGCGACTGTTCTTCAATTCAATTTCTTAACACACTCGCACACTCGCACACCAAAAGCACATAGACGTGGCTATATGATATTTTTGTTGTCAATTTTTGTCACTTGATTTGGTTTGTAGCGCGAGGTTTTCTTTTACAATGTCACTACCAAAATGGGCTTCACATTTATATGGTATATTTTATTACAAAGGCACACACTGGCGCACACAAATACACAGACACACACACATACACACACACACACACACACACACACACACACACACACACACACACACACACACACACACACACACACACACACACACACACACACACACACACACACACACACACACACACACACACACACACACACACACACACACACACACACACACACACACACACACACACACACACACACAAGAAGGAAACAAAATAAAAAAGGCGCCAGTTGGAAATACGCGGACACAAGAAAAACAATTTTGTAAATTTATGTAAAAATTTCCATAATATTTGTTTTTTATGCATTTCTTTTTGCTAGCACTGTGTTAGTGTGTATGTGTTTAATAATATTCGGTTACAGTACGTTTGAGTACGAGCCAAAAAACTCGAACAACTATTTACAACTCCGCTTGAGTGTAAGTTTCAAACTCGACTGAAGCGTTGAGCACATTGCGTGCGGTTTTTATACTCTGCATTCCACTCAAATGACCGCCACAACTGAGCGTAACTCAATCGCCTACGCGTTGCTCGTCCTGAGCGAATCGCGAGCAACTCGTGCCCTCGTGCGGCCTGCTCTTTGACTCATGATTACTCCGACTGTTGCTACAGTTGTTGCTTATGTTTGTGCGTTGTGCAAAGGCAATACGAATGGGCATATATTACAACAAGTTGCTACATTGTTGAAAATTTCGGTATTTATGGAAATATGATAGGTTTTAAGTATATTGGCAATACAGAGCAATAAACTGAGCATTTCATTGGCAACACATTTAAATTCACTTTGATAAAAGTTATAAAAATGAAAGTTAAAATTTTAATATAAGAGTTTCAAGTAACTGGAGTGCATTATTCTTTACCCTCACGAGGAATCACTTACGATAAGGCACAAAGCATCACAGGTAATAGGTATGTATATACCCCGGAAATGACCACAACCTCTTGGATTAGCGAACCGACTCCTCACCTACCCGGTGAATCTTTTACTTTGCGTCTTCTAAAGAACCAAGTAGAACGGTGCAAAAAATGAGGCGGTAACCAAGAAAGCCAACCTCTTTGCCAAGTAGTCAGCCTCTAGATACAATAGATGAAACCATCCGGCTCCTATATCCGTTCATCAACCACTAATCTAAGCTATCCACATACAATACTTAAGAAAACTGCAAGCTGCTCAATCTAAAATACTGAAAATGATATTTAATCCGTCATCCTTCGATTCAACAAAATCCGTGCATAAGAAAACCCATGGCCTCATCTCTGCAACCAAATTCGCTTTAAATTAAACTAATTTAATGCACAACCCACGTGCTGATAGGTAATTTGCCCTTTAATTCCCGATTAGTTGCCATGAAGTTCGTCACAATAACCTTTAGTATTAGCTTTTATATATTTATGTTCAAGGTGGTCTGTACCTTTGGGCTATTAATAATTGTGCATTTGTTTAAGCTCAACTGTAATATATCATATTAAATCGAATCGGTGCTTATTCCAGCTAGCTAGGTTTAATTGAATTGAAGCAAATTATTTAATTGAATCCGTCCCACGCTTGATCCAAAATTAAAAATTAAACTCATTTTTCAAGGAAGAGCCATGCGCTTCGGTATATACACATAGTTCGGTATATACAACAATCGGACTATAAACACCGAAGGCTGATCATCCTTACTAATTACAATTATATTAATACTACTTCTGTGGGCGCGACTCGCTTACATCTTAACAAACTCTAAAATATAAATAAATAAAGATACAATGTCCATGCTTAAGCTGATGAGAATGACAGACATATCTAATTTGACAAAAAAGCTTGCATATATACAATAGTTAAACTAAATTCATAGACCCTCTGCAAGTGTATATCTGCAGGAAAAAGCGATTGAGGAAGCTGATAAGCACAGAATATCAATTAGCATAAGACCATAAATGAGGAAACGCAACTCTCAAGGTCGCTAGTCGTTAGCATCCTAGTCCTGGCCCAGTCATCAATATACTTCCATGCGCATCCACTAAATATGCTATTAATTAAAGCAACAAATATTAATTAGTGCCGAGTGTCTATGTGTGTATGTGTGAACCTTTTGTTTTTGTGGATTCCTGGTAAACGAAAAAAAAAACACATGTTCATGTAATAAAACCCAATGTGTTCTTATAATTTCAGCCAGCAGTAAGGAGCCACTCGCTGAGTAGAAAGTATCAGGGAAATTGAACAAGAAATTACTCATAGAAGAGCACGCCGGCTGCTACCCGCCCCGCCCTTTTTGCTGCCCACGCAAACATCTCTGGCATAACTAGGTGAATCCATGCCCAATAGATTGCCAACCGGGTCCCTTATATGAGCGCCCACTGCTCCAAGGGTAGCGCTGATTCGCTCTAGTCAAAAAGCTCGAGGGGTATTCAGGGTGTGCTATGAAAAGCGTTGGCGTTTCACTCAAAACTGAGTGAATCCAGGTTGAGCCGAAGAGAGCGTGATAGAGAGAGAGGGTAGACAAGGAGGGAGGCTTCAACGTTCGCTCGGCTTGTTTGTCTTTTGGGCCCTCGGACTTGTAATGGCAATATTTTTAAGAGTTCAACTGGGAGTTTGTACTTGCTTCCAGATGAAAGGGAAACTTTCCTATAGATGTGTAAAATGTTAAGCTGTATACACAAGAAGCAAAAAGTTATTTTTAAAGATGCAAATAATTGCATATGTGTTCCCATTTCCATAATAATGTACATTTATACTCAAGCTTCACGGATACATTTTTGAAAGATTACTTCCCAATCCACTTTGAGAGATTTCAACTGGCATACTTTCAGAAACCAAGAAAATTTTCAATTATAAGCTCTTGTTAATTTATTGGACTCCTTAAAGTATGCCTTTTAAAATTAAATATTAATATGCAGCTAGTATATACATATTGCTATTTTGAGCATACAAACTTTTAACATATCCAGAAATTTTGGGAGACATAAAACCTACAATTTTCTGAGCACGCTCATCCGGAGCTAGTTAATCAGGAAAATATATATCTTGATTAATTTGAAAGGGGAATTGCTGGGCCCACTCTAGCCGCCACTTGTCGAAAGTCTTAATATTTAAAAGTAACTTTCCTTTGAAGTCCCATAATCATGAAGTCTCATTGTTTTGTTTTGTTACGTAGTTCATAGTCAAAGTATTCATTTGGTTTTTATATTGTAAAGTTGATTTTTTTTAGCAAATTATTATCAATGCTGACAAGCGTGTTATGAAAATTGGCTTAAACTGTGCGTAATAGATTAAGAAATATTTCATTATGCAAGCCATACTTTGTTTTTGGTTTATGCTCCAGTGTCTCTTGAATAATAGTTTTGGTTGAGCGGATGTTTTTTTTATACTCATAAAAGGTGTTGGAAATTCGCTTCTGACCCCTTACAGTATATATATTCTTGATCAGTGTTAATAGCAGAGTCGATATATTAATTTTATGAATTTCTGTTGCAGGCATTACATATATCGAAACCGGCCGTATCGGACCGCCATATCATCAAGGAACGATTAGTCATAATATAGGTTTCTTTCTGAATTGGTTCGGTTCCAAACCAATTGGCAGCTTAGTTATTGTTGAGTGTTTAGTAAATGTTCTAAGCAACGTATACCACTACGTATCAGCAGTTCAAAAAATGTTGAACTACAAATTATATAATTCATTTATTATGATAGTCAACTAATTAGCATACATATGCAATTACTATAGGGGCAATAATTACAACGCTGCACGCCCTATAAAACGCCAAACAAACTGGGACAAACACTTCAGCTAAGAGCTGTCTACATCAACATGAATTATTACATTCTCGTCTGCATAATTATATTAGACTTCAGCTCGTTGGTCTCTGCAAAGCTGGAAGCTCACAATCCATACCGTCGTAATTGGGAGCTGCTGCTGCAGGAGCCCAGCTCAGGACCTTATACGAAGAACGATGCTGCTCCAGTGGAGGAGCTTTGGCTGACCCAAAGACTTGATCACTTTGATAGTCAGAATAATAAAACTTGGCAAATGGTAATATTCATCACAAGATTCAATTTTGACCACAAGACTCTTCTCCTATAGCGTTATTTTCGAAATGCCAAATATCATAGGCCTCAAGGACCCATTTATATATTTTTGGGAGGCGAATGGACCATAACACCAGGTCTGCTCAGCACGGGTCTAACGCATGATATGGCCGTGGAAAATGCGGGAATTTTGTTCTACACGGAGCACCGATACTACGGCCACAGCTGGCCATACGAGTAAGTTAGTTAGCATACAATATTATTAAATACCTCGTACATTTAGTCTTTCCTATGCAGAAATGACAGTCTGTCCTTAGAGCATCTGAAGCACTTATCCCTGCATCAAGCCTTAGCCGATCTAGCGCATTTCATACGATACCAAAAGTCGCACTCCAGCAATCTAACACATTCCAAAGTCATCCTCGTAGGTGGTTCATACTCCGGCAGCATGGCAGCTTGAATGACGCATCTCTATCCAGAACTTGTTACTGCCAGCTGGGCGTCCAGTGCTCCGCTGCTGGCCAAGGCGGATTTCTACGGTAAGAAGATCATTGACTGTAATAAACAGTAGTCTTTAAGTCTATAACATATCAGTTTTTGTTAAGAATTGCATTTAAGCCAAATAACATAAACTCGTTCTCTTATAGTTCTCGCTAAATTTATGTCTTAAAAAAGACACAGAACCCAGCTAATTATTATTAAAATATTTGATATTTTTCCAGAATACATGCAACTGGTTGAGCACTCTCTTAACCTGAGCTATGGTCACAATTGTACACAACGAATAGAGAGGGGTCTTAACCACTTGGTGAAGCTATTCAATACGAACGAGACAACTGAATTATTAACAAGACTGAATGCCTGTCCGAGCTATAATGCAAATAATTTGCTAGATCGCATGACCTTCTTCAGCGGCATTGGCAATTACTTTGCCCTAGTTGTACAGAGTTACAGGTGGGCCTTGTGCATTGACGATGAGTACAATTGCTCAGCTACTAAACTTCTTGAAAGTGCCTACATTCCAGCGCTGTGCGAGACGCTTATGTCGCTACACTCCAGCGACGAGGAGGCCTTGCACAAGTTTCTACAGCTGCTCTATTTGGATGGAAAGCGGTTGGGTGAATACAACAACTGTCTGGACTTTAGCTACAAGTCAATGTTGCAGCTGTTTAACGAATTTTCCGACCGCAGCTCGGGCAGTAAGTCGGATTGTTTTTCCATTTTTCGAGCGCTAAGCTCAATTCACTTGCAAACAAATCAAAACTTGCTTGCAGCACGCGCCTGGTTCTACCAGACGTGCAACCAATTTGGGTGGTATACCACAACCAGCCACATTAACACCACATCAACCAGCTCAACCTTTGGCCGTGAAGTGCCTTTGTGGTACTTTGAGCAGCTGTGCCGTGATGCATTTGGTTCAGGCCAGACTCCGGCAACACTTGCCTTGGGCATTGCACAGATGAATGCACAATTTGGTGGTCTCTCGTTTAACCAGAGCATGCGTTATCGTGAGGTGGTCTTTACGCATGGTGAGCTGGATCCATGGCGGGCTTTGGGACAACAACATGACCGCCAGGCGCTGGTTATAGCAGGCAAGCAACTGGCAATTAGCCAGGTAAATAGTGCATTAATTAATTTACTTCTTGCGGCAGGTTACTCGCATGTGGAGGATCTGACCAGCATCAATGTGCGGGACAGTGTGCCCATGAATCTGGCCAAGCTGCGTGTCATGTCCTTTCTGCGGCGTCACATTGCGCCCATTTAGATGCCTTCATACATTATTAAATAAATAACTTCTTGTCCACGTATTAGTCAGTTTGTAAATTCCTCTTCGCTGCAACCTCTCGTAGGCGTTGCGGCATTTCTTTTCTCGCCTCACTGGCCCTGGGTAAACAGAGACAAATTGAGTGACACTTGGTCGTAAGTGAGATAAGTGTTTCGACCCCTCAATGTACACTTGTAATTATAAATATGTATTTGTGTGGATTGTAGATTGTTTGCTCAGCTCGGGGAATCAAGAGAGCAATTTCTGTTGATTAGGAAAATGCACTTATACTTAATTGTTAGCTCTTGCCTACGTTCAATAATGAATTAGTTTAGCGAAACAAGCCCCAAAGGATCCCAGCCTTAAGATTGCATTACCTACAGAATCAATAAATAGAAATCCTCTAGTTAAAATGAAGGAATCTGCAGTCTGAATAAGTTACGCACTGACAACTATAAAATAAAATAAAATAAAAATAAAGATATTTTAAAAATTTATATGAAGGTGCATTTCACCTTCCTGGATTAAATGAGCGCAAGTTTTGCCAAAAAACTGTTTCAAACTGTTTCTCAAACTGTTTCTCTATGGCCCCTAGAAATTTAAATCATTTGTATGCAACTTTACTGTTTCCAGTTTAATTATATTCAAACGTACTCTTAAAGATTTTCGTGTAAATTTATACGAGTGGTTTTTAATGCTGTTCGTAAAAGCCATACACTTCATGGAAAATGGGGGTCAAGGGTGTTTATAAGCATTTAAATTTCGTATGATCGACTTTAAGCTTCTCTTGAAAGCTCGTCAATAAATACTTTTAGAATCCAATCCACGGGAGAAACCATGTTTTCAGGCTTATCAATATTTAACTTATTTGCACATTTATATTTATAGAACTGAGTTTTCCAACTGACTCCCAGAAAGTTTTCTTGCAAGTGTTTGTTCTTCATACCATCAACAACAAAAACATTTTAAGAGCTCTTTGTAATCCAATCCACTCTGTTTCCAATATAACAGCTTGTTTGATCATTTTTTCACTCTATCTTACAACATTTTAATGCTCACCACTTACAGCGCATTATATTTTGCTTTTTCAATATGAAAGTATAAGCAGCGACATTTACCCCTCAAGCCGGGCAAGGCTTATGAAGTTTATGCCAGGAAAATGTCACTGGCTCAAAATCCGTTTCATGCCAGCCCGGCGTATACGTAATGTCAATGCATTGCAGAAACAATACCGCCAACCAAGCATTTTCACTAGACTGCTGTCGAAAGAAATACGAAAAAAAAAGACTAGGCAAGAAATCAAACAAGGCGAACAGAAATAAATAGTTTTCCGCGCGGAGAGGCGAAAGCATTGTTTCTGGCATTCTGGAGCCAATGAGTGTTATAGTACATTTCGAAAGGATTGCATTTAAAATGGATGGCTGTATTAAATTATTAAAGCCAAAGTAGCTTCATCGCATACCATGAGTGTGAATTGGGCCTGTACCATATGCATATGACGCCACCCGGCGCTACGGGGCGTTTAATGGCAATGGGACGCTATGAAAAGTTATTATCATTGGAGCACGTTGTCATGCCCATTGCCGTTTCCGATGTTTTTCTTGTGCGAAAATTGCAAATTGCTTAAATCGCACAGTTCATGTTAAGCCTCGACGACTTTCACTGTTGTGAAAAACATATTCAACATATGCCGTGAGCCTGGGCTGTGTCTGGCACATTTATTTTAAAATACATCTGCATAACAATTCATTTTCCATAGGCCACATCTGCAGACTGCTCAATGGATAAAGAAGATGTTGCTCCTTAGGCTCAACTGCTGTAAAATATTTCTCAAATATTGGAAACAAACAACTCCAATGCAACAAAGTATATACAAACAAACTGGTATTATTTTGCCAATCGCAGTAACTATTTTAAATCTAACGAAATCTTCTTTCAAACTCGTTTAAAATTTGATCACGTCTGTTTCGAGTATTTTACGGAAAAATGGACTTGCAAAGACGCTTATTCCATAACATTTTCTCTGCACCTATTGCCAGAGAAAAAAGCATATCTGTGTTTATAAAGTAGAGTTTTTATAAGTTTGGCAATGAACTCAGATTTAGCCATGTAATGGAATAAAGCCGAATGTCATCAATATCACTTTTTAAAGCTGTTCTTTTCCCTTTTTTGATATAAATTAATTCAAACTAATTCCACCGTCAAAATTCGAATTAAAGTTTACTTAAGTTATAAAAAAAAAATCTGAGGCTTAGAAATAAAAAACAAGCTCGACAGCAGCACATATTTTGTATTTATATGGAAACATAAATATTTCAAAACTTTGCTGCACACGAGAAGAAACACTCAGCATACACACAAAAGTAATGGGAAATGCTTCGAGGCTATGTTTCGAGTAAATCTTAGACGGACATCTCGACCTGTGGGCTATGGAAATGATTGATTATCAACTTTTTGATTGCCAAGCGGAGCGAATGGGAATTTAAACAATGCAAGACAATGATTTCATATATGACTTGTCAAGAGATGGATGTACCGATTCAAAATTCGATCAACTACGACTAACCTTATGCGACAGTAATGATTAAAAGGGAAATAACAATTTTTTATTTGTTTTATGTAGTTTGCGTATTCTTTAATCTTATGTTGAATTCATAAAAGAAAATATGGTACTTGGGCTCAGGTTGAAGAGAATTTCATTTGGAAGTGATATATACAATATTTCGGAGAGATCAGACTTTAAACGCCATGTAAACACATTGTGGGGTCACTCGAGTAAGTTTTACAAATGAATTTTGAAATTTTTTTAATCAATTTTTTGAAACAGAAAACAGGCTATGAAGCAATTGATCGCTTGAAAGCAAACGAAAGCCCACGTATTGCCAGTTAAACAGTGTTTCTCAGTTCAAATGGTAGAAACTTTTGCTACTCTGGAGCATGCGCTCGGCGCAGCTCTCGCTCTCAGCGCAAGCTGGCGCTTTTTGGCTCAAAAGTAATGTCCATCATGAATGGCATCCTGTTGCTTGAGCCGACTCGTAACAGGTGGCAAGGCTTCGACAGCGCTCAATGCGCCAGGAGGCAGCTTTGATGGCGTAGCCGATGGCCAGATGGCAAATGGAACCAGCTTGGAGCTGCTTCAACAATGGCAGCCACCCCCGAAAATGAGCGGAAACTGACGTGTTCGCGAGTAACATTGAAACGCTTTCTGCGAACACCTTGACACTGTGACACACAAACATATTTGCAGGTGTTGGCGTCAAGTTCAAATTACAATGACAACAACAACGACAACAGCAGCAACAACAGCAGTCCGTGCTTTAGAGTTGCCACAGCCTTGTCTCAGGGTTGTTACCTTGAATTTTGCTAAACGGACACATATCTCTCAATTTGCTGTAATTTTTGCCTCGGAGTTTGGCGTCCAGGGCTAAGAATTAACTCCTTGCGCAGCTTAAATTACAGCGTCAAGTAGATTAGTTTATTATATAAAAACTTAACTGCATGAATGAAGTTGGCAAACAAATTGCCAGCACACTGATGGATTAAGTCAAGTGTCCTTGAACTAAGAAATAAAATAATTGCACCCGAGTACTTAGTTGATTAGTGTGAAACAAGACTTTCATAACGAATATACTGACAATTAATGAACAATAATTATTTTAGATTAAAAAGAAATAGTAACTTCAACTATTTGTACTCTGTACCTTATAAAAATTGGAACAATGGGGTATATTATATTGGCGTTTATTTATGTCACACACAGAAGAAGCCATGTTCGATCTCGCTTCGTCTGTCCCTCCTTATGTCTGTCGCCTTTCGACTAGCTATGGAATATTGTTCTTTTATCTTTAATATCATTTATACTTGGCTCATATGTTTTAGCCTCAGCGTCAAGTATTTCACACACGCGTTTTTCGCGTTAGTTGAGCTAACTAATGGCAGTTATTTGGCTTTCTGGCTAATCGCTGGCACAAACTCAGATTAAGTAGCTTGAAATAACTTGATGTAGCTTTTTTAACTTTCCACACACACGTGCATCAAATGCTTTAAAGAGCTCAAGGAGCGAAGGAGGAAACAGTTTGAACTGCCTGAGTAGCCGCCGCTGACGCTTAACCCTCTCGCAGGTGCAGGACGATCGGAAAACTTTGCCCACTTTATCCACTAATCAGGATTATAATTTATATTTTGCCAACCCCCGTTTGTGCTTCACCTGAGTGCTGGCTCGGTTGCCCTTGGTGCGCTTAATTAGCCGTGGGCTAATAATTTTCCAGATTTAAACTGCTTGGAAAGTGAACTTTAAACTAAGCGACCACGTACCGTTTACGTTTCCTAAGATTTGAATTAGCCCAAAGGCATTTCATAATTACATAATATATAACAAGTAAGAGGTTCTAGTCGGGAGCTCCCGACTAGGGGATACCCTGAACCCTTTTCTTCCGACATCAAATGCATATATATATTCTATTTTAGAAGCTATATGTCAGGTTTGGTGACTCTAGCTCTTATTATTTACCAAAATTGCCCAAAAAAAAGGTAATCGATATCGATTTTTATCGATTGGAAACGGAGCAAGTTATCGATTATCAGAAACAAACTTGATCTGCGCGGGAACTGGGAGCATCTACATCTAAAATTTCAAGTCTCTAGCTCTTATAGGTTTTGAGATCCTTGCGTTCATACATACGGACGGACGGACGGACGGACTGACGGACAGACAGAAGAACATGGCTAGATCGACTCGGCTATTGATGCTGATCAAGAATATATATACTTTATGGGGTCGGAGAAGCTTACTTCTGCCTGTTACATACATTTGGATTTTGCACAAATACAATATACCCTTATACCCATTTTTAATGGGTCCAGGGTATAAAAAATTATATTAATTTTGAAATAGCACCGAAAGCATTTATTGTCTGTCTTTTGGATATGATTTTCCAGTCAAATAGAATTAGTAGAAAATTTGTTTAGGTAAAATTAAATTGAAGCAGCATGGAAGTAAACAAAACACGAACCGCCTTGGACAAAGAATTCGATGTGTTCTGGTCAAATGTCAATTGTTTTGTTGTGCTGAATTTTCCGTATGAAGAAAGATGTGAATTTGTGAAAAAGGCCAAAAATTGCATACATGGAACGAACTTCGTACCATACATGCATTTATTTGCCTGTCATTTCAAATGTAAAAATCAATTTCAGGAGCTTGTCTTCGTGGCCATCTTCTTCTTTGTATGTCTCGAGTTGGTGCTCTGCCTCGGCTATGCAGCCCATTATTATTACAGTCCAGCGCTGAAGGTCGTTTCGCGAATGCTCCACATGAACGAGCATCTGGCTGGCGTGACGATATTGGCTTTTGGCAACACAAGTCCAGAGCTGTTTTCTAATTTGACGTCTCATAAGGATAATGTGCCCGTATTTGGCAATTGCCTCTCGACGGCATTGTTTGTGGTCATGTTTGTGGGAGGATTGATCTGCTATCTGTGTCCGTTCAAAATGAGCTCATACAGCATCGTTCGAGACTTACTTTTCTTGATATTAGGCGTGACGCTTTTGGAATATATGATTTCCAGCGACGGGCTGCTTTCGATTAGAGAGTGCTGCATATTAGCGCTAGTCTACATCGTTTATTTGGTGGTCAACGTGCTGGACCTGTATCTAATGCATGTTTCCACAAGATGTGAGTAGCGTATTTAACGAGTTCTTTCTGTATTTAGCTCGCTCGCATATCCTTTTCTCAGCACTAAGAGTCCAAATAGACGCTCTGGACAGTATAGAAAACACACAAGATGTAAAAGAGCAGCGCAGATCCCTTGAAAAGAAATACAACGTGATTAAAGTCGATCAACGCGTGGATATTCTAAAGCGTGAGCAAGGCCCAATGGCAGACGGTCCAAGTTTCACCTACATGACTAAGCGTCCTGGCCGGCGTGCAAGGATTGACATGAGGGCCAATCGCAGAATTCTATATAATGAATTCCAGAGAAGAAACCAGTATCTCTTCAGAGACTTCTTCTACGCACTCCGGCCGGTTGATTTAGCTGATTGGCGCAAAGCCAACATGCTTATGCGTACCTTTTATATAATAAGGGCTCCAATTGTAATAATATGTGCGTTATATATACCCTTGGTGGATTATGAGAAGGAATTGAATGGCTGGAATAAGCTGCTCAATTGTCTACAAATTATCATTAATCCGGCGATCACAATAACAATGGGCAGTGCAATAATATTTAGAGAAAAATCGAGGCTCTGGTATTCCACCATAACCGAGACTTGCAAATACGGCTTTTACTCCTTTGCGATAACGGTGCCAATTTCCATATTTGTGTTTTGTCACTCGAGGACCGGTGTCCCGCCAGCATATCATTGGTTGTATACGATCTTGAATCTGACTGGATCTATGTTCCTGACTTTCCAGTGTGCCTCCGAAATAGCCCTGATAATCGATGTGTGTGGCCACATATTAAAAGTTGAATCCGACTTCATGGGTGCCACTGTAAGTGCCATTGCCAGCGCCCTCGGCAATCTGGTGACCAATACTTCACTGGCTCTGCTTGGTTATGAAAAAATGGCGTATGCTGCAACTATTGGCAGTCCATTCTTTAGTGTACTCCTGGGCACGGGTGCTGTGTTAGCATCCAGAATATTATCCGGCGGTTCTCCCACAATTGAGAACATGCATGGCAAGTATGGTGAGAATGCGTTCGTCTTGTTGCTTCTCGGGCTCTTGTCAACGCTGCTGTGGACAGCTTTATTAAATTATAATTCTCGCCGTTCTGTTGGCATATTCTCCATGGGCATCTACCTTCTATATTTAGTTTTTACCCTGCTGATTAGGTACGGAATAATCCAACCATATATCTTTATGCAGTCGATCCAGTCCCCGATCGTTATGCAGAGGCAGATGCGAATCTTTAATCATGACAGCTAACACGCTTTTGATATCCAAAATTTATAGTAGCAGATGAAACAAATTTTAATGGTATACACACATAGTTAATGTATGTACTCAGATACATTAGTTGCCATTTACCATTTGATAGGTATATGTATGTTTGTATGTATGTATGTAAGTTATATGTGAACCAAAATATTAATTTATAAATTAGAATCTGATGTCTTGTTAATATTGTGCCTAAAAGAGTTTAGCTCTGAGATCGATGCGTTCACACATACGGACAGGCAGATAGTCACGGCTAGATCGATTCGACTATTGACGCTGACCAAGAATATATATACATATACATTATGAGGTCGGAGATACTTTCATTTGCCTGTTTCATAACCATTTTAACAATTTCCAATGGGCTCAGAGCTTACAAGTTATTAGCGAGTGCCCGTACAGAATCCCTCATATTACGGCAATTAAGAATATTTACAGGGATAAAAACTATGTAATATGATTTTTTATATCAGACTTAACTTGCTTTAAATACTTTCAATATGCTCGAGTGTCGACTTATTAAATAATAATATGACTTGTCCATATTATTAGGTTCTTCTTTGACCACCATAAAGTATTTATATAGCTGTCCCCAAAGACAATATTAATATCATCGTCATTATAACCATGGCCGCCAGAATAACCGTGTCTAGTCTAGTCAATCTGTCTATCAGTATCAAAAAGTTATTGGCTCTAAATTGAAGACTATAAAAGCATAAACATATTTTTCGCTTAATGGCGCAAAAATTTACATAAAATTAGGTTTACTCTTGCATGAATATATAGTTTGTATTTGAAATATTGAATATGCATGTGTATAAGATTAAGAACGCTCGGAACAACAGTCGAATATTTTCGAATATGATAAAGAATCATTTAAACCAAGTTAAGCCTTGCCAGGCGCATTATCCTTACCATTGGATGTCTTGGAATCTGGCGGGTTTTGGTTCTTTTTCTTCGGCTTGTTATGCCATTTCTTTTTGATAAACGGCTTTGCATCGATTGGATTACGTTGTGCATGATCCGGGACACGATGCTGAATATATCCGTCATTTTTGTTAGGACATATATTTGATGTAGCATAACCATTCGACTTATCAGCTGTGTTCGCTGTGCTCGTCTTCTGCAAATCATTAGCAGTTTGCTTAGATTTAACTAGCTGCCTGTAGTCAAGACGGTTGTTGTGCAATCCTGGGTTCGGGGCCCTGAAATACATCTGATTAAAGTCTTTGCTGTTTGCCTGAGATGATGACGGTGCATTATTATTCATCTGATATGGTCTCTGGAAATTCATGTTTGGTCGCTGCTGATGTCCAACTGGTCCTCGAAAGTTTCTTCTAAAGAAATCAGTCCACCCACCCATAGCATCAGCAGTTCCATTAAATGGATTGCACATTGGTGGTGCATATCCAAAAATGTTGCTGTTGGCATTCAAATGCATTTGTCCAATTGATTGTGACAAACTTGCCACGCCCATTCTGCTTAGATGCTCATTTTGTCGTTTTCTCCAATGGTCATACAAATGAATCTTGAATTTGTTAAAGTTATCTGTAATAAAACTGCACTGGTTGCAATGGATAGGCGTGGCCATACGCAATTCTTCCGCCTTGTCGGCGGGCATGGGTTCAACAGAACCGTTGACGCGCAGAAGTGCGTATACAGCTTGAAAAGTTATAAACAAGTCTGTGTTAAAAGTGTTCCAGTGCTGAATGCGACGCATGAAGCTGGAATAGAAGTCATCCGAAATAATGTGCATGTTTAAGCGATTCATGAACGCGTCAATCTTGAAGCCAACCCGGAAATGATTGGAGGGCAAAGGCTGCTGCTCAATGATTTCGTTAGCTAGATCCATCATGTGGTCCAGAAGGGGCAGGTGCTCCCGTTTTAGCTGCAGATTGAATGCATATATAAAGTACAACAGGCATCTCACCTACACTCACTTACCGTTGTCACATTTTCAATGTCCTCTTTGGGCAAAACAACAAAATGATATTCCGCTTTTGGGCAATCCTCATTACGCAGCACCGCGGCCCGATCGGTCTGAATAACTACGTTCTTCCCAGCTTCCATTTTCCGGGTGAGTTCGCCACGTTGAAATTCCACTTCATTCTCGTTCTCCTGCATCGCAGCCGAAATGTATTACAAAAAACACAAGCAGCAAATCGAGCTATGGAACTGAACACTTAGAATTGGCACACTCAACTGTTTGTGAATGCGACTAAACAGTGTTGTGAAACTGTGCGAACGAGTAACAAAACCAACAAGACTCCAGTTGGTTCACTTTTACTGCGTCACAAATGCAATTGCGATATGGTGAAATGTGAATCCAGTTGACGTCACGATACCCAAACATATACATGCATATACATACATATATATTTATACAATCAGCAATTCAGGCAAATTAGCTGACGTGGCGTTACAGTTTCATTTTCTATTTATGCCCGGAACTCATTCAAAACGGGAGAAGGCGTATAATTTTCGGCAATCCCATAGAGTATATACATACATATATTCTTTGTCGGCAATACCAGCCGAGTTGATCTTGCCACGTTGTCTGTCATCTTGCCATCTTGTCTGTCCATGAGATACCGAAATTAAATAGGTGCATTGACAACACTGGACTGCCGTAGCAGCCGGCGTACGTGCTTGTATGCATGTGTATACATATATACATATACTTATATATTTTTATTTTACATATATATCTTTGGTTTAATAATTATCTGATATGTTGTTACTGTTATCTAATATCTTTTGGCAAAATAAAGATATGTATGAATAACCTGGAATGTTTAAAACGCCAGTTAAGCGCTCTATTTAGGGTATCTTTAAGTGGACCCCATTTTATCTATGTGTACTCTACCGCATATGTACTCTACTCTTTTTAATGTATTTTATATAATAGCATTTGTTTTTTATTGAATTGCTTGGTCTTTGTTCTAAGTAGAAATGTAATTTTCTTTGAATAAGTGATATTGATAGATAAATATAAATTGAACAGAAGATAATTCAACATTTTCAAAATGTTATAAAAAGAAAAACGCCAACAAAAGAAACTAAATAAATCCATTTTGACAGACGTACAAAAATGTAGGTTTCCAAAAAGTCGGTAATATAGTGTTATATTTATAGGAAGATTTTATGTATACATATACACATATATATGTATGTAGCATAATAGGTGAGAGCTTATATCCAGATTGCAATTTTCATGACTTTCGAGGATTTTTGTTTTGTTTCTTAACAAATTTGTTCTTAAATAGGTTTCCTTTGCCTCTGCGCTCATTGCCTTGATCTTCAGACGTAGCGTTGCAAACATTAACAGATTGATGTTTCCGATTCATACTTTGCTGAGATTCGGACTTTGCGCTATGCTTATTCAACATTGCTTGATTTTGTTGCATATTCAAGGCCTCTGGTTTAGATTTGTCCGTGTTTTGGGCTTGCTTATATTGAGGTTTTGCATTGAAACTGGGTCGGACTTGCATGGCGTTAGATGGTCCAGATCCAAAGCTGTTTTGTGCCTGGTTATGTGGAGGTGCAGGATACCGCGCAGAACTACCTTGTTCAATATTGAATCGGGGTCGTGTCTGGTGATGTTGCGCATCAGGTGGTACAAAATTGTTGCAATTAACCTTGGAAAAATTTGGTCTATACATATTAAACCGAGGATCCTGCCCATTGGGATGCCTATTAAGTCCGGAATTCTGAAAATGCATACGCGGGCTGTAGTTGGGCCGTGGCCCGTTTGCAGTCTGTTGATTGAATTGTCTAAATTCGGGCGGCAGATAATCGGAATTTGCATTCTGGCCAGGAATGATGTTGATGTAATCCTGCTGCGGGTGATACGGGCCACCGCCGCCTTTTTTATAATGTGTATTCTGATGGGTATTTGAATTTGGGGCCGGTTGCTGTCCCATGTTTTGGCGCCAGTTTTGTATTTGCCTTTCTGGTTTCGAATTTGTAGCGCCTCTTGAATAGCTTGGCTGCAGTCCAGGACTTTGACAGTCCTTAGTTATCTGCGACGTTGACTCGTTGATGGCTTGAGAAGCATCAACGAGCTCTTGCTTGGGGTTCACTTCCAATTTTGCTTCGTCTAGCATGCGAGTTACGCTGTCCACTTGCTGTTTTATTTTCAGTTCAACTTCTCGCTTCTTCCAATGCCCAAACAAGTGACCTTTCAATGCCACCAGACTCTGGCTTTCAAAATCGCATTGGTTGCAGCGCAATGGCGTTCTTTTGCGTAATGCCTCAGCCCTTTCGGGAGACATTGGCTCAATGGAGCCCTGTACACGGAGCATAGCGTAAACAGCCTGGTAAGTGAGGAAGACGTCCGTGTTGAAGCTGTTCCAATGCTTTATGCGACGCATAGACTCCGAGTAGAAATCGTTTGATATGACATGCATAGCGATTCGGTTCATGAATGCGTCGACTTTGAATCCAACTAGAAAGTAGCTGGAGGGCACGTATTTTTGTTGTTCAATTATCTGAGTGGCCAGTTCCATCATATGATCCAGGAGCGGCAAGTGCTCCCGGGTCAGCTAAATAGCGCTAAAAATATTATCATAGAAACAGATTAATGTATTCACAGACTTACAGCACAAATATTCGATATATCTTCCTTGGGGACAACCAGAAAATGATATTGCGCCTTTGGATACACATCCTTCATTACCGTCGCTAGATCAGTTTCTATTAGTTGTCCCTTGCCCTGTTGCATTTGGCACGTCAAGCTGTCTCTAGCCGCTTCCTTTGATTTCCCCATTTGGTATGAACTACTTTTAGGAATTCACCGAAAACTAAAAATGATGTATACAAGCTTACACACATTTATGCACATTATGTGTACAATGGCAGAAATTAGTATTTAAAAGTAATGAAACAATTGGAATCGGTACCTAAAATGATTGAAAATACTAGACAACAGTGTTGAAAAAACCTCACAGCTGGTATTCACACACGACACACACACGCACATAATATAAATGCTTGCGTACGTCTGGGCACGATCTACTTTGTTTACAGGCTTCAGTGTTCCTGTAAGTGTTCCTTGAGCAATGGCATGTTTTTGGCAACAAACGCGCACTGATTGCATGTTAAGGGCTTCGCAAGCAGCTCGTCGACTATATCTTTGGGCAAACGTTGTATGTGGCCTTCGTTGCTTAGTTGTGCATAAAGTGCTGCAATTACAGAAACATTAAACACTCTGGTTTACAGTTATTTTGGTATTTCGTCAACCTACTTTCGTATGTTATAAAGAGCGACGTATTGAAGCTATTCCAGTGTTTTTTTGTCTTTAAGCAGCTTGAGACAAAATCCTTTGAAATGACGTGCAAATGCAAACGTTGCATGCTCGGCTGTGCATGGAAACCAATTTGAAAACTCTCATAACTTTCGCCGCGTATTTCAATGATATTGCGGGCCAGCAGATGCAGCTCCTCCAGCAATGGCAAATGTTTCTTGCTTAACTGAAAATTGCAAATCAAAATGTTTCTTAATAAATTTGTGCATGCCCTTCTATTACCTGAAAAATGCTAGCAATATCCTCCTTGGGCAGCACGAGGTAGTGATGGCGCGCCTTTGGGTATTTATCGGCTATTACAACAGCTACGTCTGTTGTTATAATTAAATTAGTAGGATCTAATAAGGATTTGATAAGCCCGGTTTGCCAATACATTTTTACAGCTGATTTGCTCGGCTGTCCCGGTTTCTCCAGTGTTGATAAATGTCCAGATGTGGTGCCGTTAGTGGTGAAAAATGCCGATACGAACACAATGATGCGTGCGTCAGACGCGCTTTGGTTTGCTTATCGATTAAGCACACAATTGTAACTATGAGTTCAATAAAATATACTGATAAAATTTACAAGCAAATAATTAATTTACATAAGTCTAACATATATGCAATTATTCACTCCGTGACATAGTACTCGATTTATTTAAATGGATTGTCCAGCACTGTATCCACAGCGCATGCAACCCTGCACGCAACCCTGCAGCAACAACAATGAACTACAAGAGCCGAGAAGAATATTATTTGTTTGGTCGTCTAAATGTGCTTGTGTGCAGCGTGTGGGCAAGTAAAAAAGTGTGTACCGCAACATACAGTCAGCCGTGCATTTTTTACGCAACGCGTGCGCAATTTTCTCTATTATGTGATACTTTTTAATTGGAAATCATTCGAATCTCATTTTGAAGCATCCAGTGCAGCGCCAAGTTAACGGAAATTTGCATCTGGAAGTCGAAAACCTGCCATCTAAAGATCCAAAAAAAAAAAAAGATTACGCAAAGCAAATAAATCATACGCAACATGGCAAAAGTCACAGAATTAAAGCCACGCCTCATGGCCGAACCGTTGCACATACAGCGACTCGAGGCAGCATTAAATATGCGTCCGTTTATGGAGATGGCCCGCCAGGCGCTCAAGCAGCCATTGAGCAGTGGAAGCGGTGAAGATAGTGCTACCGAGCTGGAGTGTAACCAGGAGGCCTGCGTTGATTCTGACGACTCCTCCACTAGGGTGGGCGTGGTAAGGATGAAGTTAAAAAAGAAACGTCGCAACCGTCTCCTGGGCAGCAAAGAGGGTAATCGCAGTTGTATATCGGGAATGTTATAACGTGGATTCTAAATCTTCACCTTTACAGAGCGACAGAGCGTCAAGACGCAGATATACAACTTCAATGATCTGACAAGCGATCGGGAATGGCTCTACGATATAATACTCAGCGACACGGAGAGCGAGGAGCAGGTTAGCGATGAAGATGAGTACATTAATCAAATGCTTCGCGAGCATCTGCAAGAACAACGCCAGCGGAAGAACTACTACAAGAAGGCCACAGTATGTACATGAACTTTGTGCCAATTACCTATATTTAACAATTTGCATTAAAGAACGCTCAATATGCCTATTATGGCAGTGGCCTACTGTCCAATCATGACGTTTATGCGGAACGCCAGCAGGCCACAGTTGGCGTGCGCAAGCGCCGGCGTCGCACCAAGCAGGAGATACTTTTGGCACGTTTGGCTGAGGCGCAGGCGGGCCCCAAACCGGTTAAACAGCGACGACGCGGGCGCAAGAAGCGCACGACTTTAGACTCGCCGGAATCTGGCGAGGTGCCGCCCTCGGAGCTGGGCAAGTACAGTTTTGGTGACACGCTGCCCGCCAACGATGAGGATGATGAGGATAACGGTGAGGTGGATTACAAGCGGGAACTGGCCAACCTGGCTCTGGATTTTCCAGAGGAGGAAGAAGAAATCGAGGAGGAGGTGGATGTAGTTGGTGCGGCCGATGGTCAAGTGACACGTGTTCGTCGTCGTCGCAAGAATCCCGAAGTATTGGCTGCACGCCGTCGCCGTATCTGGCAAATAATGTCCAAAAAGGAGTCTGGCCGGCTGCAGCGCATCAAGAGCAACAACCACAAAGAGATGCTGGCCAACTGCAAGCGCGTGGCCGGCATGTGCGCAAAGGTTGTGCGCCAGCGTGCACTCAACTCGCAGCGTATCATGAAGGAAACAGTATGGCGTGCCAAGCGTCTTACTCGCGAAATGCTCACCTATTGGAAGCGTTATGAGCGGGTAGAACGCGACCAGCGTCGCAAACAGGAACGCGAGGCCGAAGAGCAACGCAAACAAGATGTGGAGCTCATTGAGGTGAAGCGCCAGCAGCGCAAACTTAACTTCTTAATTACCCAAACGGAGCTATACGCTCACTTTATGTCCAAGAAACTGGGCCAGGGAACAGAGGCGGATCAGCTGCGCATACTCAGTCAACTGGACGAGGAGCACAACGCGCGTCTGGCAGCCCACGATGATTACGACGCGGGCGAAATGAAGCAGCTGGCGCAGGCCAATGCAGAGGCAGCGTTGCAGCGCGATTTGGACAAAACGCGCGCCTTTGATGTACCCTTTAAGAAGGAGCAGATAATGGAACAGCTGCAAGAGCTAGATCAGCCGCAGTCGGAGCGTGAACAAATGAAGGATCTGCCGCAACCCAATATGTTTAAGGGCACACTTAAAGGCTATCAAATCAAGGGCATGACTTGGCTTGCTAATATCTACGATCAGGGGATCAGTGGAATTCTGGCCGATGAGATGGGCCTGGGAAAGACTGTTCAATCGATTGCGTTTCTATGCCACATTGCGGAGCACTACGGAGTGTGGGGCCCGTTTCTGGTTATCTCGCCCGCCTCGACCCTGCATAACTGGCAGCAGGAGATGGCACGTTTTGTGCCCGACTTCAATGTGGTGCCCTACTGGGGATCACCCAATGAGCGGAAAATTTTGCGCCAGTTCTGGGAGCAAAAGCACCTGCACACACGGGAGGCCAGCTTCCACGTGGTGATTACATCGTACCAGCTGGTTGTCAGCGACTACAAGTATTTTAATCGCATTAAGTGGCAGTACATGGTGCTGGACGAGGCACAAGCCATCAAGAGTGCCGCCTCACAGCGTTGGAAGCTCTTGCTAGGCTTCAATTGTCGCAATCGTTTGCTGCTAAGCGGCACGCCCATTCAAAATAGCATGGCTGAGCTGTGGGCGTTACTGCACTTCATAATGCCCACACTGTTTGATTCGCATGACGAATTTAACGAGTGGTTTTCCAAGGACATTGAATCGCATGCGGAGAACAAGACGGGCATAGACGAGCGTCAAATATCTCGCCTGCACATGATATTGAAGCCTTTTATGCTGCGGCGCATTAAGAAAGATGTGGAGAACGAACTGTCCGATAAGATTGAGATTATGGTATATTGCCCGCTAACAATACGTCAGAAGCTGCTTTACAGGGCGCTAAAGCAAAAAATACGCATCGAGGATCTGCTACATGTTGCTAACGGCGGCTCATCAAGTTCTGCGTCAGCGGATGGCTCTATTTTGGATCGCAACTTTACCTCGAACCTCATGAATCTGGTCATGCAGTTCCGCAAAGTCTGCAATCACCCAGAGCTCTTTGAGCGACGAGATGCAAAGAGTCCGTTCAGCATGCGCTGTGCCGAGTTTGTTCTACCGCGCTTGGTCTTTAATGATGGCCTTCTTCAAAGCGCTTTGCCGAGTCGCAGGCACCTCGTGTATAACCGGTTAGTAGTTGTTGATCGTGGACTAGCATTTCATTTAATATTATTCCTTTACAGCTTCAACATATTCAAGGCGGCGCACATGCAAGGATCCCTGTTCGACGATGTGCACGTTAATAGTTGCTTCGGTTTTACCCGTCTGTGTGACTTATCCTTGTCCGACATGGAGGATGTGACCTGGCACGGACTTATAGATTTGTGAGTATTCAATTTGGAATAATTTGTTTTTCCACTCTTTAATACTGATTTGGTTTCGTAGCTTGTTGCACTATCGTCGCGTGCTTGCCAGGCAACCACTACTTTCCTATCGACGTCAGTGGTGGCCATATCAACTTGCTTCCCGTTACCAACTATTGGAACCAGTTCTGGAGCGCAAACTTGTGCCGGATTATTTACTTACAAACAGTGTGCTAAGGGAATTCATTTTTACAGCAATGGTAAGTTTTTGACATATGCATTTGTAGAATAGTAAACATAATATTGACGAAAAATGATTTAGTGCTTGCTTATATTGGGATTGAGTATGCCTTGTATAAAAACTAAAAAATAGCTAAGATTCAGCATTGTCAACTTCTATCTCCCATTGTCCGTATAAAGGCCTCGATCTCAGGGATTTTTGTCGCTGGCTTAATACATTTGTAAATTTGTTCAACTCCGCTCATAAGCTATAAATATTTTTGTTCAATATCAGGCATATTCGTCTGCCATGCTCGCTAGAGATCACTAGAACGTCATATTTGGGACATATGTTTCTTTCAAATAATTAATAGATCGTATTGTTTTCTGAAAACAATAATTATCGAAAACCCAAATTTATTGATTAAATCTGAAAGATAAATAGAGCGCAAAGCAACAAATTGTTGCATGAGCAACACAAAAAAAAAATAAAACTAATAAAAAATGTATATCGAATTCTCATAAAAAAATGTGTATATGATGTTTCGCAAGCATATACATTAGTATGCCATATCTGCAAAGTCCTTAAACTTGATAACGATAGGCACAGTAGTTAGTATACATTGCACATGTATGTAAAAGCTTTGTATATTCATTTAGCTATTTACGCGTAGAATTATGTTGACTTCCTTTTTGATTCCTTCTGTTGATTTGCAGACATCTCGCGAGAGCAGCGTTTATGCTTTTGGTGATTATATCACTGTCAACATGCAGGAAACGATCGAGCACCGTGTGACACGCTCCAAAATACTCAAGGAGAAGGCTGGACTCATCGAGACGCTCGTCGATGCTGATGGTCAATCGGAGACAAAGGCTGAGCCGAGTATAAAGCAGGAGCTAGAGCTGGAATCTGTGGAGGTGCAGACCAAATCGAATACTAAGAGCGATGTCAAGATGACTACGTTGCATTTGCTGCCCGAGTTTCCGCATCGTCCGCGCAAGCCGCAACGCTATCAATGCGAGCCGCTGCAGATGCCACGCTTCCTCTACGGGCTGGGTCAGCGTGTTCAGGCCGTCGATAGGCATTTATAGTGAGTAGCAATTTTTGGACGTCAATGTATGTAAATTCAACTAATGCCTGACAACTTCTGTTTGATAGTTGCGAAAGTCGCGCCGCTGCCTGGACGCACATTCGCCACCTGCAGTGCGAGAACAGCGTTGGCAGAGAGCTTGTGGGCACTGGCTTGGCGCTGTGCAAGCCGCGTAGCGGCTGGTCGTCGATTGTGGTCCCTGATAAGGAGACACTCATAACGGATGCGGGCAAACTGTTTGTGCTGGACAGTCTACTGACGCGCCTCAAGGCCGAGGGTCATCGTGTGCTCATCTACTCACAAATGACCAAAATGATTGATCTATTAGAGGTGCCCCCAATACTTAGCAAACACATTTATTTTATGCTAATGCTTGTTTCTATATTTTAAGGAGTATATGTGGCATCGCAAACATCGTTATATGCGCCTCGATGGCTCTAGCAAGATCTCAGCTCGTCGCGACATGGTCGCTGATTTCCAAACCCGTGCCGATATATTTGTTTTTCTACTTTCGACGCGCGCCGGCGGCTTGGGTATTAATTTGACAGCAGCCGATACGGTAAGTCAAAGTTATTTCTTCGAAATTATACAAATTAAGACAAAGGGAGGCGGGGATAAAATAACATTGTTTATATATAAACTAGCTAACTAGCTAGCTATCTAAAGAGACGGTAATAGACTAGACAGGCACATGACTGACTTGGATATTAATGATTACTATATTATATGTATATATAATCATCAGCTGGTGGAACTAGAGATAGTTTGGGAAGTAACATAGAGTATACGTTTCTCTAGCACTGTTTCTTTCAATTATTTGTCAACCAGAGCTGATTTTTTCCATAGACTTGAGCTTCATTCTAAAATCTGACGGGAATCGGCAGCATAACTTGAAAATATAATACTTTCCACTGTTGAAAAGAAACAAAATTGATAAGTTACTTACTACGAGAATCAAATGGAATTCTTGCACAAAAAATACTTAGAGGCAGCAGCCACTAGCAATTCACTTAAATTAGCCCGCCTTGAGGCTAATTTGGTGCCATTTAAATCGAAAAGGACTAAAATGTTGGCTCAGAAGTCAACAGAAATAAACGACTCAGGGAAGCATAATGGGCTGGATTGTGAGGTCGACTCAACAAAATCAGTCATTAGGAAAACTGAAAACAATGATGAAAAGTTACTGACGATGATCAAAAACAATAAGACGCGACTTAGGAAGCTATACAAGGAGCTCGACCTGAACACATCTGATGAGCCTTCTGGCAAGAGAGAAAATTGTGTTCTGCATGTAAACTACAAAGAACAAGAGGCGGCATTGGTGTGTCAGGTGAGCACGGCCAATCTGGGTGTACTAAAGCATCGATTGTCCAAGGTGCTGCTGAAATATAAATCACGCTTTCGCCCTGTGCACAGTGTTCCGAGTCTCTTTAAGCAAATGGGCCTCATCCATGCGCTTATGAACTGCAAGGCTGCAATAGACTTTGCTAGCTTGGACGAGCAGCTGAAACGCGATGCGCACTCTTGCCAGGCTGAAGGCTGCCAGATTGTTAGCATTGAAATGGGCGCACTATGCTTTCGGTGCCATCCAGAGGGTATACCAGACGTGGCTGCAAAGCTTAAGCTGTGCGGCTACAAGCCGCTGCTTACAGAAATTGGTTACTATTCCACTGAGCCGCTTGTGAAGTTGACTGCGGCGCAAATGCGGCGCTATTCGGAGTTCCTCAAGGCGCTGCAGGCAGACACGGATATTGTGAAGATCTATGACAATGTGCAGAACTCTGTGCTAAACTCCATGTACACCGGCTGAATTGGCAGCTGGCAAATTTATGTGTGGGCGATGAATAAAGGGGCAGCTTCTTTCTTGTATCCATTTGCTCGACTACTTGTTTATGCAATGCGCGGTCGTCGGCATCGCCCGAGCACTTTTCGCCATGATTTACACATTGTGATCTTTATCGCAACAATGACACTGCCAAGGCAGCCACCACAAATTCTCAGCCAAAAGGATGCAATACTTACCATGTGTGTGTGTATGTGTGTCGCTTCGATTTGCTGTGATTTCTGTCTGTGACTTTGGCTGCTGGGCTTCGTGTGAACTTTTTTGCTTGGTTCTTAAATCATTTTGTCACTGATTTTGATTCGTTATTTGTGCTGGCCGCCAAGTAATTCGGTGTTTGTCTTTTCGTCCATTTTATTGTTTGGTTCTCAGGCTCGGAATTGTTCGCCCAAGTCGTCGTTGACTAATTCCCTGGCATTTCGGTCTTTTCATCGGCTCTTTGAGCGGCTCATCGCAAACGGCGAATAATCTTTTGTATTACACTGCATCCATTCGAAATCGTTTAAAAGGGCATGACAAACTTGTTCAAATACATGTAACGTTCTCGACCCAATTTAGTATTTATTCAGTGAACTCTCCCAACGGATTATTAGGCGGACATTTTCTTTTAAACCTTTAGGTCCCACACAGATTCCACCTAAAAGACTTTTCAATGTAAATACTTAGTGTTGGACATAATGAGAATCTGAACCGTTTTAGCTATTATCATCTGTCTATCTACAAAATATTTCAGATTTTGGAGAGCTTACCCGGTTTTTAAAAAACTGGAATTGATTTTTCATTAAATACCTATTTCAAATATATCGACAAAAAATTAGCATTTAGCTTTTGGTATTTGTTTGCCTCCAAGCACAGGGTGTCCCCTTGTCAAGATTCCTTGAGCTTGAGATGAGAACTTTGTCGTTAGGCAACCTGATCACAATTATTTGGATTGGTGAATTTGAATTTAAAGCGAACCGGTTTGAGCCTGGAACTTCATGTTTAATATATTATATATTTTTATTTACCACGCATCGGATTAGTTAAAAAACATGGTTTTGCAGCCATGGTACATTCAAAGGCGACTGATGTTTTTATTAAATATAATTTAAACATAAAAATTGTATAAGCTGCAAATAGCACATGGAAACCAAGCCAAGCCACACAGAACAAAAAGGTGAAAATCGTTTGTGTTGTTTTAAATTAAATTACTGAAAGGCCAACGCAATGTGTGAGAAACACAAGTTCAGGCCTAAAAGTATTTGCTGTTCATGTCGTTGGCGCATACCAATATAATTTGACCAAAAGGCAACTCATCACTTTGGCATTTTACTGCACGTTAACGGAAACCGTTGAGGGCCCAAATATTGTACCAGTTACATTTTAAATGATATGAAATCAGCTCATTAATTGTTTTTGTGTGCCATTTATAAACAAATTCAATTTGTTTGTAGCGCAATGTTCATTCTTAAGGATCATTATCATGCGCGTCTTGCTTTTGGCTGCCATTAAGATTTATGACATTTTCGAAATCGTAGCAATGTCTTTCAATAGCCGCTGTCTGTTGCCATCTTTTGATAGACCATCGTATTTGGTATGCCCCACACGTACTTAAATTTAGTGCAATTCATTGGGTGTATAAATGTTTGGGTTTTTAAAGCTGTCTCGCATGCCAGTTAGAATATAGACGTTTTCTGTACTTCGGGCGGTAAGTACAGGTGATGGACTGTCCAACTGGTCACACCTTTTAACCAATATTTTGATAGATTTATTTGCCGGAAAAAGTTTTAGTCAAATTACTTTGTAATTAGTCGATAGCAATCTAAACTTTTTTATAAAGTTCCATCAAATTCTTTTAATCGTCACGACCTTTTAATATGAATTTAATTTTAGTAGCACATATTTTTAAAGAAGCTCAAACTCAGAATTTATTCACAAATTTTTTATTTATTATGCAAAGTAAATTTGATTAGTTCCATTGTGCTAATGGAGTTAACTGAAAACTGTTAAGTGTTTATACCATACGAGAATCCACGTACCAAAATTGGCATCTCTAGCTCTTATAACTCGTACTGCGTGGGCACTAGGATATTGCTATTGACCAGAAATATATGTATATACTTTATGGGGTCACAGATGGTTCCGTCAATTTTGTACTATACTATTTCAACTCTTTACGCAAATAGGAGCTACATGATATAATAGACAGAGTTGATAAGCAGATATGCTAGAGAAAATCTCAAAATGGCTGGGAAAGCAATAATTTCCTATTTATTTGTAATTGAGAACTTATAATGCTCTAACTATATGAGTATTTAAAAATTAATCCCAATTAATTGGTTCTAATCAATTACGTAACTAAATTATCAGAAATCCTTTTCAAGTCCAGTGAACCTTATATTCATTTTTATTTCTGGTACTCATTGAAAACGGTTCAATGGGGTAAAAGGCTTCTGTGTAATATATGTAAAGTCTTGGTTAGCATTATCAGTCTACTCGATTCAGCCAAGTCAGTATAAATAAATGACTACAAACTTGAGAGATTTTATACTAAAGTAGATCAAGTTGAACTAACTTAACTAATAGACAAAACTTACAAATGTCTAGCTTCACGCTAGAGTATCAGAACTCGTGTATTTGCTTTCGCTTGCGGATACGAATTTGAAGAATTGCATTTGTTCTAGTTAATTAGTCGGATATCCAGAATCTCATTCGATACAAATAAAGCCCAAAAAATCTGAAGCATTATTTTACGATCCACCCAGAAACTATTACAGATTGCGTTGACCTACATGCCAGCGGGCGTTATGCTAGTAGTATTCGTTTTAATTTAATAAGATCTTACGGATAGTTTGTTTTAAAAATTTGGTTAAATATTGATTTTATTAATCAGTATTGCATCTCTAAGAAATATATATATATATATATATGTATATAACAATTAATGTAATGAAAAATTTAAAATATATAGAGTTAAGCAAGCCAATCGCGAACTAGTTTAGCCAATCGCTCCTTGGCGGCGCGAAGTCCAGGACTGTCCGTGGCACTGATTGAACCCGAGTCGGAACAGTGTGAGGCTTGGGGAATAATAGTGGCGTTTTGTGCCAGGCCAGCACCAACTTTGCTCCATGGATCCAATCCACCCTGAGTCATGTAAACGTTCTCGACAGCCGGATTCACACCGCCATACTTCTTGTTTGTGGCCCTGATATACCTTTCGATTCTCGCTGACGAGTAACCTGAGCCGAAAACATCGTGACAGGTGTCGGTGTACAGAGTGGCCGGGAAAGAAGATCCGAATGGTTGACTAGTGCTCCCAGAGGATTGAAACCAGCCAAATTCTCTGCATGTTTGATAGAACCAGGCAAGACCAGCTAAGAGAAGAAATGATTTACCTTACTTGGTCAATTTGTTATGCTAGTCTATACTCACAACCATCGTAGTTGTCCATTGACCATTTGTAATAGGCAACAGTTCCCTTATACCGCGTATTAACGCATGCTGGATAATTAAGACGCCACTGTACAAATTTAGATACTGCCACAGAATCGTCAGGATCAAAGCTTCGAAGAACGGAGCAATATTGGGCCAAGTCGTAGTTTTCGGGCCTACATAGATAGAATATGATAATATAGCAGGAAAATATTTGGATGTTTTATAGTTACTTTTGGTACTGGGCAATGCCAGCAAAAACATTTGCAATCGTGCTAAATATTTGCCACTGATCCTGCTCGTCGTTTTCATCAAAATCGTCACAAAGGTTTAAAATTTTCTTGGCCTCAGTGCCATTTCCGCTCGCAAACAATTGCTCATATTGGGACGTGGCATTATCGATAATGTTGTAGCAATAGTCTCCTCCCAGTTCTCTGTATGCTTTGCCAACAACTTTCATATAATCTGCAATAGAAGAGGCAGCGGAATTGTTATATACTCAACGTAGCAAGTATAAGGCAAATCTGGGGCTGGTATATTCACCTTTAAAGTCTACTTTGGCCTCTAATGGAGCACTGGACGCCCAACTGCCCACGATTACGTCGGGGTACAATAGCTTTAGCCAAACCGCCATAGTTGCAGAGTAAGAACAACCAGATATAACTACTTTCGAGTCCTTGTACTTGTCCTCCGTTTTGAGAACGTTGATAACATTAACCACATCGGCCAAAGCTTGTTCCACACTTTGATATTTGAGGTTGGCAGTTGACAAGGGTCTGAGGGTTGAATGAACAAAGTTGTTATGCGTCGCTGAGGTATTAGGAATAAAAGTCAGGAAATTTACTTAATTGGAATGCTTTCTCCGAAGAATCGATGTTCAGTGTAGACCAGTGAGCTGAAACAAAATAAGTTGTTCAGGACCATTGTCTTTCACAAAATGTTTGAAAAAACTTACATCGTACCACACTTCCTCATTTGATACATTAAAGTTGTCCAATTTCTGGCTGATCCAGCGGGTCTCTACATTTGCTCGCGTGGTGCCGACCTGCCCTGGTGGTGGTCCACGGTGAAGCTCTCTGAGTGTTTGTACAAATGCAGGTATTTCTACATCGTCCGAGTAAAGGGAGTCTCCGAGACTTGCTGTAAAAGCAAGAGTTATGAGCACTGAGAAAACTATTAGGATGTACTTCAGCATGATGGATAGTTCGCTGTTTTGCGAATAGTTCCCTACCTCAATACGCCGCCTATTTATTAAAAAAATTGGTCTGTCAGCGTGCTTTTGCTGATAACTGTTGATTAAAAGTAAATATTTACAAATAATTTGGTCTTAAGCTTCTATTTTATAACATTGATAAGTTTAAGTAGTTTCTGTGTCACGTTGTTTAACATTTCCCAAGTTCTTATGGACTTTATAACCTGGAACAGTTGTATTTTCATTATATTGATGGCTTATAACACTTTCGAAATCGATTGCCATTTAAAATCAGTACTGACTTATATTTGTAAAATCTTAATATTTGTTTTTGTTACTGCGCAAAATATTTTATACGTGCGCCATGACAGTAGATTTGTAGCTTTGTTGCTCATAGACTCAGGACCCAGATCCAGGACTCATTGAAAATTAAAATAATGTTTTGTGGTAATTGCATGGTAAAGCCTGAGAACCCAACCAGGCTTGGCAAAATATTACCTAAGCCAACTGTGTTGTAATAAAAATGTATGCTGTTTATACCCTGAACCCATTAAAAATGGGTTTGTATTGTATTGTATTTGTGCAAAATCCAAATGTATGTAACAGGCAGAAGGAAGCATCTCCGACCCCATAAAGTATATATATTCTTGATCAGCACCAATAGCCGAGTCGATCTAGCCATGTCCGTCTGTCTGTCTGTCCGCCCGTCGTAAGTTAAAATTTCCCAGCCCCAAATTCGGTCAAATCTCATCCGATTTCCATAAGGTTTGGCTTTTTGTTCATGGTTTGACCTCTAAATCAATTTGGCATCAAAAACTGGCAACAGTATTTTTGGTCAAAATACATGTACAAATTATACCCTCAAATATCCTATATAGACATAAGGCGAAATTTCCCATCCCCATAACTCGGTCAAATCTCGTCCGATTTTCATAAGGTTTGGCTTTTTGTTCATGGTTTGACCTCTAAATCAATTTGGCATCAAAACCTGGCAACCGTATTTTTGGTCAAAATACATGTAAAAATTATACCCTCAAATATCCTAACTAGACATAAGACAAAATTTCCCAGCACCATAATTCGGTCAAATCTCATCCGATTTTCATAAGGTTTGGCTTTTTGTTCATGGTTTGACCTCTAAATCAATTTGGCATCAAAACCTGGCAACCGTATTTTTGGTCAAAATACATGTAAAAATTATACTCTCAAATATCCTATATAGACATAATGCAAAATTTCCCAACCCCATAACTCGGTCAAATCTCATCCGATTTTTATAAGGTTTGACTTTTTGTTCATGGTTTGACCTCTAAATCAATTTGGCATCAAAAACTGGCAACAGTATTTTTTGTCAAAATTCGTGTAAAAATTGTACCCTCAAATTACTTATATAGACATAAGGCATAATTTCCCAGCCCCATAATTCGGTCAAATCTCATCCGATTTTCATAAGGTTTGGCTTTTTGTTCATGGTTTGACCTCTAAATCAATTTGGCATCAAAAACTGGCAACCGTATTTTTGGTCAAAATTCATGTAAAAATTGTACCCTCAAAATACTTATATAGACATAAGTCAAAATTTCCCAGCCCCATAACTGGGTCAACTCTCATCCGATTTTCATAAGGTTTGGCTTTTTGTTCATGGTTTGACCTCTAAATCAATTTGGCATCAAAAACTGGCAACAAATTTTTTTGGTCAAAATTCATGTAAAAATTGTACCCTCAATTACTTATATAGACATAAGTCAAAATTTCCCAGCCCCATAACTGGGTCAAATCTCATCCGATTTTCATAAGGTTTGGCTTTTTGTTAATGGTTTGACCTCTAAATCAATTTGGCATCAAAAACTGGCAACAAATTTTTTTGGTCAAAATTCATGTAAAAATTGTACCCTTAAAATACTTATATAGACATAAGTCAAAAATTCCCAGCCCCATATCTCGGTCAAATCTCATCCGATTTTCATAAGGTTTGGCTTTTTGTTCATGGTTTGACCTCTAAATCAATTTGGCATCAAAAACTGGCAACAAATTTTTTTGGTCAAAATACATGTAAAAATTAGACCCTCAAATATCCTATATAGACATAAGGCGAAATTTCCAAACCCCATAACTCGGTCAAATCTCATCCGATTTTCATAAGGTTTGGCTTTATGTTCATGGTTTGACCTCTAAATCAATTTGGCATCAAAAACTGGCAACAGTATTTTTGGTCAAAATTCATGTAAAAATTGTACCCTTAAAATTCTTATATAGACATAAGTCAAAATTTCCCAGCCCCATAACTGGGTCAAATCTCATCCGATTTTCATAAGGTTTGGCTTTTTGTTAATGGTTTGACCTCTAAATCAATTTGGCATCAAAAACTGGCAACAAATTTTTTTGGTCAAAATTTATGTAAAAATTGTACTCTTAAAATACTTATATAGACATAAGTCAAAATTTCCCAGCCCCATAACTGGGTCAAATCTCATCCGATTTTCATAAGGTTTGGCTTTTTGTTCATGGTTTGACCTCTAAATCAATTTGGCATCAAAAACTGGCAACAGTATTTTTGGTCAAAATTCATGTAAAAATTGCACCCTCAAATTAGTTATATAGACATAAGTCAAAAATTCCCAGCCCCATATCTCGGTCAAATCTCATCCGATTTTCATAAGGTTTGGCTTTTTGTTCATGGTTTGACCTCTAAATCAATTTGGCATCAAAAACTGGCAACAAATTTTTTTGGTCAAAATACATGTAAAAATTATACCCTCAAATATCCTATATAGACATAATGCAAAATTTCCCAACCCCATAACTCGGTCAAATCTCATCCGATTTTCATAAGGTTTGGCTTTATGTTCATGGTTTGACCTCTAAATCAATTTGGCATCAAAAACTGGCAACAAATTTTTTTGGTCAAAATTCATGTAAAAATTGTACCCTCAAAATACTTATATAGACATAAGTCAAAATTTCCCAGCCCCATAGCTGGGTCAACTCTCATCCGATTTTCATAAGGTTTGGCTTTATGTTCATGGTTTGACCTCTAAATCAATTTGGCATCAAAAACTGGCAACAAATTTTTTTGTTCAAAATACATGTAAAAATTATACCCTCAAATATCCTATATAGACATAAGTCAAAATTTCCCAGCCCCATAACTGGGTCAAATCTCATCCGATTTTCATAAGGTTTGGCTTTTTGTTCATGGTTTGACCTCTAAATCAATTTGGCATCAAAAACTGGCAACAAATTTTTTTGGTCAAAATACATGTAAAAATTGCACCCTCAAATTAGTTATATAGACATAAGTCAAAAATTCCCAGCCCCATATCTCGGTCAAATCTCATCCGATTTTCATAAGGTTTGGCTTTTTGTTCATGGTTTGACCTCTAAATCAATTTGGCATCAAAAACTGGCAACAAATTTTTTTGGTCAAAATACATGTAAAAATTATACCCTCAAATATCCTATATAGACATAATGCAAAATTTCCCAACCCCATAACTCGGTCAAATCTCATCCGATTTTCATAAGGTTTGGCTTTATGTTCATGGTTTGACCTCTAAATCAATTTGGCATCAAAAACTGGCAACAAATTTTTTTGGTCAAAATTCATGTAAAAATTGTACCCTCAAAATACTTATATAGACATAAGTCAAAATTTCCCAGCCCCATAGCTGGGTCAACTCTCATCCGATTTTCATAAGGTTTGGCTTTATGTTCATGGTTTGACCTCTAAATCAATTTGGCATCAAAAACTGGCAACAAATTTTTTTGTTCAAAATACATGTAAAAATTATACCCTCAAATATCCTATATAGACATAAGGCGAAATTTCCCAACCCCATAACTCGGTCAAATCTCATCCGATTTTCATAAGGTTTGGCTTTTTGTTAATGGTTTGACCTTTAAATCAATTTGGCATCAAAAACTGGCAACAAATTTTTTTGGTCAAAATACATGTAAAAATTATACCCTCAAATATCCTATATAGACATAAGGCGAAATTTCCCAACCCCATAACTCGGTCAAATCTCATCCGATTTTCATAAGGTTTAGCTTTATGTTCATGGTTTGACCTCTAAATCAATTTGGCATCAAAAACTGGCAACAAATTTTTTTGTTCAAAATACATGTAAAAATTATACCCTCAAATATCCTATATAGACATAAGGCGAAATTTCCCAACCCCATAACTCGGTCAAATCTCATCCGATTTTCATAAGGTTTGGCTTTATGTTCATGGTTTGACCTCTAAATCAATTTGGCATCAAAAACTGGCAACAGTATTTTTGGTCAAAATTCATGTAAAAATTGCACCCTCAAATTAGTTATATAGACATGAGTCAAAAATTCCCAGCCCCATAACTGGGTCAAATCTCATCCGATTTTCATAAGGTTTGGCTTTTTGTTAATGGTTTGACCTCTAAATCAATTTGGCATCAAAAACTGGCAACAAATTTTTTTGGTCAAAATTCATGTAAAAATTGTACCCTTAAAATACTTATATAGACATAAGTCAAAAATTCCCAGCCCCATAACTGGGTCAAATCTCATCCGATTTTCATAAGGTTTGGCTTTTTGTTAATGGTTTGACCTCTAAATCAATTTGGCATCAAAAACTGGCAACAAATTTTTTTGGTCAAAATACATGTAAAAATTATACCCTCAAATATCCTATATAGACATAAGGCGAAATTTCCCAACCCCATAACTCGGTCAAATCTCATCCGATTTTCATAAGGTTTGGCTTTATGTTCATGGTTTGACCTCTAAATCAATTTGGCATCAAAAACTGGCAACAGTATTTTTGGTCAAAATTCATGTAAAAATTGTACCCTCAATTACTTATATAGACATAAGTCAAAATTTCCCAGCCCCATAACTGGGTCAAATCTCATCCGATTTTCATAAGGTTTGGCTTTTTGTTAATGGTTTGACCTCTAAATCAATTTGGCATCAAAAACTGGCAACAAATTTTTTTGGTCAAAATTCATGTAAAAATTGTACCCT